AAAGAGCTGAAATCATGAAATTATTGACAAACAATTTAACACAAGAAATTATTTAATCAAATCACTTATTATTCAATATATACCCTTCCATTCGTCAACTACACACCTTCAAGAATTCATTTGAAGGGAAAAAAGAAAGATCTTAACAAAATATTCTCTCTTCTTCATCAAACAGACCCTATCTACTAAATAAGATTTTTTTCAACTTTTCGTTAGTCCTATCAATTTTTGACATTTTTCAATATAACTAGTAATAAATCCATTTCTGAATTCTCCTGAACAAAACTACAACAGCTAACATCAGATAAAAACAAGCAAATATTTTTTATGAATTGAAAGAAGCTAGATATAAATCCAAAATGAAAATTTGCACACAAACTTTCAGAAGAAAATATCAATAAAATAGCACATCCAATGTACAAGAAAATCAGAAATACAGGTCCCTAGTTCAACCATGTTTAAAGCCATTTCTCTCAGTCAAACTCCAAAACTAAAACACATCCTAACAAGATGGTAGGCAACTCTAAATGTAGTACAACTTAAAACTCTTCAAACTTGATAATAACTTCAAAGTTTGACTAGCGCTAACTAATAAGAGAGGTCGTTTGGCGACCTGCTCACGCTCCGAGTCCAAGTTCAACTGATGGGGTCCCTCGTCAACAAACCTTCATATATGCTAGAGTTGAATTCTTGAGATGACAAAACAATCATTATGTCCGACTAAGTAACACGTTGGTCTCGCTTTTTCTGTTGACTTTCAACTATATTTACAAACAAGATGGGCGTGATGTGAGGGAATGCTGGTTTCAAGGCTTTGAGATTGTCGGGGTCTCTCATCCTCTTTCAGAAATAAGTTCTCCATGTGAGTAAAAATAAAAGCCTGGTAAATCTAGTCGTTGTCACCTTGCTCGTTAGCAGGTAATTAACGGATTGGTGCCAGGATGTAAGATCGCGACAATCTACGCGTCAGAACAAATCGGGACGGATTTAGACCTGACTGTAAATAAATCTCTGCTATCAACATATCTCCATATATATAGAAAACTTCAAACAATGTTGTTACTTATATCCTATATTATCTGTTAAATTGTGTTAAAGTCACATCTTTATACAATATGATTTCTTTTTTACACCTTTCATAGTATAAAAAAAAATAATTTGGATTACATGTGTCTCGTCACAAACAACAAATTTTAAATTGTTTTTATGATGTTTAATATTCAGATATCGACTGTCAATTTAAAAAAAAATTTAAATAAAAATTAATTAATTATTTAGTAATTGAATAACGAATCTTTATGACATAATGATACTGATTTTGTTTTATTCATTTCAAATTCCGTCTTCATTAGCCCAATCGAAGAACAGTACATGTATGACGTTAAACCCCATTTCATTTCATATCAAATCAAATTATAAATGTGTATTAGTTTTAATCAAATGTGAGTTGCAATCAACAAATTTATTTATCAATTTTTTAGATCTATTTTAATGTTTAATGATTTCTAATATTTGGTAATTGAAAATAAAACAAAATTTCATAGCTTTTTTTTAAAAAAAAAAAATAGAAAGAAATTCAACATAATTTTAATTTTTGTTCAAAATCAAACCAAAAGAAATAAGATAAAAATTGTTAAAAAACATCTTTATAGCTACTTCATATGTCTCTACATAATTCTAATTTTTATTCAAAATCAAACCAAAAGATATAAAAATTTAAATCTTAAAAAACATCTTTGTAGCTACTTCATGTGTCCTCTTGACATGATATCTAAATTCTCAAATACAAACAATTAAATGTCTGGTATAAATTCAACATTAAACTCTTAGGAAATGTTTTCATAAAATCAAAGCACACTACTTAAGTATTAAACACTGCTCGCACTGTGAACTTTAAACATTTAAATTTTCAAATAATTAGCCTGCGGTTAATGTGGACAAACACTTTCTTCAAATAAAGGCATCAGTGCTGTGTTTGAGTCAAGCGAACAAACTAAAAACAGAACTCGGCAACTCACTACCTGAGTAATTCACATATAATCAACAACTCTTTGTACCATTTTACTTAACATAATATCGAAGAATTTGTTTTGGTTTGTTAATTAAATTAGCCATATGTTGTGAAAAGTAAAACATAAATGTTCTGAGGACCTAGGAACAGATACATTTAGCAGTATAGTATAACAAAAAGTTTGCAAATTCAATTTACCAATTTATTTGGGGGGTTTTCTTTAATTTCTTAAAGCTTCTGATAGTTATTAGTATTTTACAAATCATATCTAATTCTTCATGACTTAATCCATACTAAAACCTACTGATTGACTGTTTAATATTCAATTAAATAAACAAAACCATACAATCAATAGTATGTAATCTCCAGGCTTCGATTCAATAGAATTTTAAACGAGGCCCAACAAATGATTTTAGCGAACATTTATGGGTGATGCTGGCTGGCTTGTTTATATCATTTTCATCTCAAATTTCTAACCAGGCTTCGATTCAATAGAAATTTAAAAGATGCCTATCAAATAATTTTACGGAACATTTATGGGTGATTCTGGCTTGTTATAACATTTTTATCTCAAATTCTTAACCATCAATTTCAAATCTATTTTTTTCATATTTTGAAGCCATTTTTTCTAGCTGACTGTCTCTTTTGAAGAAATAATCAGATTTTTTAGATGTATAACTCTAATTTTTACATACATGTGTGATAATCTTTATCTGTTTGTTTAGTAAATAAAACATTACTTTTGCAAACATTTTTTTTTCTTTGATGTGGATTTTTGTTTTGATCATATTTATTTGCGAGTCATTTATAATCCTAATGTCAAAAGTTTTTCAATTAAAACAATAGGATGGGTTGTTTGGCTGATTGTATCCTTTTCTGAGGAGAACATTACAATTGAGTCTAAGGTATCATCAACACAATCTGACACTAACATACTGTATGGTTAATTTCATTTACTATGTGTTCAATGATTGGGAGGTGAATTTTGCCTAGCCGACAGCCGAAAAGGGCATTTCCACCCAATCTGATTAAAATACAGATCTATATTTCATTTCGTTTTTTTATACTTTTGATGGCCTACACTACATGAAGATCTGACTGGTTGTAGCAATAGGTCATAGGTCGCGTCAGAGGTCATACGAATGGCTTTTGACCTATGATGTCAGACATTTCATTAACCAATCAGCATTGATGTTACTAGTGGATTACCCACAGTTCCATGCAAAACACGTCTAAAGCTCGCCATAACAGACCGTTTCATTGGCTAATACCTCACATCATCCAGAACACGTCAATGATAACAACTCTTCCAGATCCTAGTGTAGTAAAGACAAGTAAAACGAAATTTTGAAGTATAAAAAACAAAACAAAATAGGATCTGTGTTTTAATTAGATTGCATTTCCACCTAATCTTCAAATTGAAAACTGTCAACGCCGCAGTTACAAGTGGGAATGGAACATTGATAAAGAGTTATATGAATATTGAAGTATGTAGTTATCCATAAGAATATATAGACTCATCTTGTAAATATCAGTCAAAAGACATTTTCAAATTTACTTTACAATCTTTGTATCATGAAATCTTAAAATCACATAAATTTAAATCTCTCTATTCTGGAATAGCCCCTATTATTGACAAGCATCGGTTAAAAGTTAAAATACAACTTTAATATTTAAAGATGCATTATGTAAGATTTAGGTAAAGAGATGCCATTCTTGCTATAATAGATATTTCTTTATTCTTTGCGAACTTATGAGTGTTTGAAGATGTAGAGTTGATTGTTTAATATAGTAGCAATGGTACTGGACAAACAAGACTAACCATTTTATCTTAAATCTTAAAACCTTGTGATCGTCCCATTCCATTTAAATCTCTGACACCTGATGGTCTAGAGAGTTGTTTATGAGCTTGTCATGGGAATAAATGTCTAAATAATAGTTTATATAACATTTGAAGCCAAAATAAAGACCTGCAATAGGCCGATTTAGCTTAGCTCTTACATAATGCATCTTTAATGTTGCTGATCTTCATTCAGGGATTTTAAATCACTTGCTAGTATGCCACCTACAAAACTGTGAATGTTGGTTGGTCCAAATATGTTTCAATTCCATTCAGAATTTACAAAAATATGGCGAGTTGAAAATTCTCAAAAAATTAAAATCTTCTGCAGATGCTAAGATTGAATCCAAGACAGGAGATTATCTACAGTTGACATTTTGGAGTTTGTTTTCTTAATTGTATTTCAAATAATCAATCAGAGTACATTTTAAAGTGCATTAAGTTGTGAATAATTAAAGACAATGTCCAAAAAATACAAATGATGATCAGCATCATTATGTTCATCTTCCATTTAAATTCTTTAAAAATTAATCAAAATGCGAAATTCATTTCAATACACACTTTATGATTAGGAAGTTAAACCCCATTTCATTTCAATACATAATTTCTAAATTATTTCTCAAGAAGAAGTATATTATTACAATCAAAACCATGTGACTCCAGACCTAAAAAAATCACAAGTCATCTATTCTTAAGCAAGTCTAGGTCTCATCACAAGCATAGCAAAGTCAAAAAAGAAACGTACGGTATTAGGTTTTGACTCTTAAATAACCACTTAAAACTTGTCCTGTTTACATAGGATGAAAAACTGGTATACATACGTGTACATATAGTCAAAGCAAATTATACTGCCCTGACAATTTGTTGAAGTCTCTCGTCAAGCGGCCACTCAATTAATCAAGGAGGGAATTCAAATAATTCTACTCACAAATCTCCATGGCATTTCTGCTCTTGATTTTAGCAGGCACACAACAATAATACTGCAGTTTCATTCACATCAAACCTCAAATGGCCGGGCGGAAATTTGCAGTTTTAAAATGCACAAGACCTGAAGGGGTTACTAGATGTCAAAGCTGTTGATTTTTCCAGCTGTCTCAAACGATGTCGGCGTGTGTCGTCAGTTTGACTGTTAGCATAGATCTGTCGTTTGTTGTTTTTTTAAGTTTAAAGTTTGCCTGTTTAAATGTACGTGTACGCTATTTTCAACTGTTTGTATTTAATGTATTTTAACCCCCTCTAACCCTAGCCCTCAAGTAGACAGATGGACGACAACCAAAAATACAACTAACTAGGTAGGTTTTATTTTTCATTCATTTTTCGATTTTCACTCAATTCGCTTAGAGTTTTATGCATTATTTAAATAATATACTTTCTTAGTCTTTTCATGGCATAGAGTAACTGGATAGAGTAATTAACTAAAACACATACTTATTGAAAACAGCTATATGTTTCGAGGAATATTCTCTTACACTTTATTAATCTTTTAATGGCATTTAATAACTGGATAGAGTAATAAACTAAAACACATACTTATGGTAAACAGCTACTAATATATTTAGGGGACGTATTCTTCCAACATTATCAAACACACCATTACAAATGAGAGGCCATTATATAAAGACAACTATATACTTTACATAGTAGATAATATGTCTCAATTTGTACCTCAATGTTTTCACAAGGAAACCAGGAATCTAAAGAAATTTATAATTGTAATTTCTAATATTGATATACACTGGTATATATCTCCTAGTAAATTGTATTAAGATATTTAATGTAAACAATGAATATAAACCTTCTCCAATTCTAGTTTCTAGCCTTTAATTCATTCATTTCTAGTATATCTCCTAGTAAATTGTACTGCTATATGTATATGTAAAGAATGAATATAAACCTTCTACCATTCTAGTTTCTAGCCTTTAATTCATTCATTTAATTCTATTCATTTAAAAGAGTTCATTTAAAAGAGTTCTGGATCTAGATCCAGAAAATAAGCAATAATTGTTTTTTATTTAATGTGATATTTTGATTATTGAGGAGACAAGATCTAGAAGTTTTAATTTTCATCCCAGCATATTAAGCGGAGAGAGTTTATTTACAAATTTTAGCTTTATTTTGGCTTTAACTGTTGAACACAAACCCACTTATTTCTCAATACTAGCTCTATCTGTGGACATAAAGTTTTAAATATTATGGTAGACAGAAAATGTCACCAAAAAATCAACCGATCAAATTACCTAAAACAACAGGTTTGTCAGACCAAATTCAGAGGAGTGGTGTCATTTTAATTCATTGCCATGGTTTTTTTTTATTTTAATATATTTAATAATATGAAATATATCTTGCTACAATTAACTCCTCTTAAAGTGACAGTCTCTTAAAATATTTATATTAACATGAATAATAATTTAAAATTAATCAGTTTTAACATTAATCACAGTTTTAAAATTAATAATATTTTTAACATGAATCACAGTTTTATAATTAATAATAATTTTAACATAAATCACAGTTTGATAGTTCTAACATTAATCATAGCTTTATAGTTTCAACATTAATCATAGTTTTAATGATAGTTTTATTGTTTCAACGTTAATAATTAATCATAGTTAATGTTAATCATAGTTTTATAGTTTTACAAATAATCACAGATTTATAGTTTCAACAAAAATCAAAGTTTTAACATTAATAAGAGTTTCAATAGTGATATTTTCAAGCTAGTTTTTGGGTTTTTTTCACCTGTAGAAGTTAAATCATACAATACCAATTCTGGCAAAAGTAATATTAATTTTTGTTTATTTTAAACGTGTAAAAGTTAAATCATACAACACCACTTCTAATAAAGTTTTGTTGGGAAATTATTCTTAAAATAATGGGATTAAAACTGTAATTAATCAGGGAACTTCTTTTTAGAATAACTACATGTATTAGACTTTTATATCAAGAGACTGTCTCTTTAGTAGGAAGTTCAGATAATTAATTGAAAACTTACAATCTAGATGCATCCGAGGCATCATCTCCTTCTATTCTATAAACTTTACCATACATGACATATTCAAACTGGTCAGCTCGTGACGGTTCAGTATTAGCAGGATTATACTCATCATCTGGAGCACCGTCTTCACGCAACGTTGTTGCAACAACAAGTCGAAACTTGTCACCTTCAATATAATAATATATTAGAATTTAAGTTTTTTAGCTTGCCACAAGAAATACAAGAAAATATGAAAGCAAAGGATGACTCTGCCAACAATTTACTTAAAGATGCATTATGTAAGATTTAGATAAATAGCTGGTCATTCTTGCTGTAATAGTTCAAAAATAGCTCAAAAATGAATATATTAAAAATTTAATTTAAATTACTTTATTCAGAGCTAAGTTATGAGTGGTGGAAGATTTGACAAGATCTAGAGTAGATTGTTCATTATCGTAGCAATGGTACTTGACAATCAAGTCTATGTCTTGATTATCCATTTTATCATTAAATTTTTCAATCTCGCAGGTGTTGTAATCCCAGTAGCGGATTATCAGTGAGGCTGATGAGGCTGCAGCCTCAGGCCCAAAGATTTTGTGATACGATTAAAAACGCATAGACAATGAATGTTAGGGGGGTGGGGTTTAGGCCCAACGGGAATCAACATAGGCCCTGACCCGAAATTAATTAGGTCCACGCCATTTTAAATAGGCCCTATTGTTTGGAGATCTGATCTTATTTTTTAAATGTAGGTCTACAATGTACGTTAAATCCTTGTAAGTTTTCGGTTATGTCTTGCTTAATATATTGTATCCACGCGGCGTCATTTATGGGCATATAAAGTTACATTACCAATATCAAACGACTTTGGCTTAGTATAGTCTAAGACGTCATACAGTTATGACGCGATTGTAGGCCCCTGGATAACCTCAGTAACGAGTCCCGTTTTTAATGTTAGCAACTACCTTGGCTCTAACTTTAAAAACTAAATAGGCCCTCCAGCAACTGCCGCCTCAGGCCTTGATGGAGTTTAATCCGCCACTGTGTAATCCATTTGAATATTGGCCATCTGATGGGTTAGAGAGTAGATTAGAAGATTGTCATGTGCATAAATGTCTAAATAATAATAACTTTGAAGCCAAAATAAAGATCCACGATAGGCAGATATATTCATTTTGCATTATCCATTTTTAAACTATTATTGCAAGAACAAGCAATGCTTTATCTAAATCTTAAATAATGTATCTTCAAGTAATAAGTATTGAAATGAAATGGGGTTTAACATCCTACTTTTCTGCAGTGTGCTATGTGGGGAAATTTTTCCCTAAAAGATTTTCCCTAAAAGATATGCTACGTCCAACTAAAAGGAATCTTTTACATAGAACTTGGTTTTTCGTCCCTTCTGAACAAACAGACAAGCGGCCAGGCCGTCCGCTCTGCATGACTGACAAGGGGATCCACGATGGGAGACCCTGAGGGACTTTCTCAGCCATCATTGGTTAGTTAGCCAGCTCCTTATTCACCGTGCCACTATGGCTCCTGTATTACAGTCCTTTTGACTACCCTTTAACCAAGAACCCTTATTGTTCGAACATTAATCAGATATAATTCTATATTATAGGTTTAAAAACAAGATATTAGGATATAATCACCCAGGAAACATCAATACGGTAAGTCTGGCAATAGTTGAAGTTTTCACAAAAACTGGATAAAACGCTTAACCTATGAACCATGACAGATGCTAAAATTGGCGACAACATACAAGAACACCATTGCTTGTCTTTAAATTTCAAGCCAGAAATTCTGCTCCAAATGTATAACTGATTCTTGGATATTCTTAATTTATCAATCTCAAGATTTGCACACAATAAAACAATAAATTCAATTGGTTTTAGAGTGGTTTTTTTTTTTGTTCTTTTTTTAGGTGAAATTATCTAAAATGTCTGATTCTAAGACATGCCAATTAACTCACTGGTAAAACAGACAATATATTCATTACTAGACGTGATCCATGAAATACATCAGAAAACACCCGCCTTGGCCAAACATTGCTTCATTAATTTGTCTTACCTAATTCTACAGGATACATCTGACTATTAACATCTAATATCAAGTCCATTTTAAATGACTCACTCTCACAAAATAATCTTGACACTGAAAAACAGGAAAAAAGATAATCTAATAACACAAATGAAAAATAAAAATTTGGGCATTTTGGAGAGTTGCATTTAGCATTTTTTTTTTATTATATTTTTACCATTATTTACATGTAACATGAAGTCCATGTTCAGATTTAACTCTGGGCTTCCTATTAGTCAAGTCCAAATGGGGGAACAAGGCTCGACAAAATCGAGATTAGGCTCAACAAGTGGGGCCTGGGCAATTGATACCGAGCTTGACAAGTGGAAACCGGGCATTACAAGTGGAAACCAGGATGAAATAAAGCTTGTGACATTCTAGTATATTGGGCATTAAACACAATATTGAATGTCTGCCACTAATTTCGAGATTAAAAAAAGTTATTTGATCAGTAGTATCTAAAACAGCGGGAGCACCAAATGAATCAATATTGTCTAGGGATGTATTCTAATATTAATGACATGACATTCATTTGAATTCATTTCTCCTTTCATAAAGATTAAGGGTGAGCACCACAAGTTCTAACAGACAACTGAGGCCACAGACAAGTGTACTTGAAAAAAAAAATCCTGAGGCCAATTAAATTTATAGTTTAGTTCTTCAGGCTATTGAAATATAAATAGCCACTTGTCTTTGTCTTGTTTAAAATAAAATTTCAAAAATTTTAAGATGAATAGAGCAACCAATTACCTTTTGTTTTTTATTTAGGTTTTTTTTTTGCCAAAATAAAAGGAAGCAAAAATTGTAATAATTGTTACCCTATTGGTGTGGCCGGAGTCTTGATATTAACTAAATCATACATACATACAGTTTACCTGTTAGCACCACAGGTTTTATTATAGACAACTGTATTTGAAAAAAATATTGAGACCAATCCAATTTAATTTTTAGTTTTGACAAATAAATAGCATAAATAGCAAGCAAACATTTTAATAACCCAACATTCAGATTGGTGTGGCCTGAGTTTTGATTTTAAGTAAATCATATATATATATATATATATATATATATACACATGGCCTTGATCTATTCGCAGGTAGAGAAAGGTGAATGTATAAAAGGTAATTATCACCCATCTACATCATTATCTACATTAGTTACATCTATATATCATTAATTAACATTGTCAATATATAGTTAGAACACAGACATGTATATTCTTATACAATACATACATGGTTCAGACTTGTCCATACAACATTTCAAATTTTAAAAGGGATGATATCCAAGGTTCAAATTTTAATAATGCTACTCTAGTAATGGCAACTCTTTAGTAATGGCAACTCGACATAAACTAGGTACAATTTTATTTCAATAACATGCTTGCACATATGGGTCTTTAGCAGTGGGATGAAACCAGAGGACCCAGAGAAAACCCATGAGGTTCAATGCAGCAACACGAGAAGATGGGCTCCCAGGATACAAGAATCAGTTTTAATTGATGACAATAAATGAGCCTCAATGTGCCACACTGTGAGAGAGAGAGAGAGAGAGAGAGAGAGAGAGAGAGAGAGTTTAACATCCACATAAACATTTCAATAATTCCCTTGGACGGGGAGAAAAACGGAGGACCCCCGGAGAAAACCTACGAGGTTGGACAGGCATATGATCTGAAAGTGTTTATGTCCAGAATATTTAAAAGATGCCAATTGAAATCAACAAAACCAACAAATGTGAAAATTCTTTACATCAATTTCAGGCCAGATAATCATGATAGTAGTTCTGACATTCCAAACTTTATGCCAGATGTATTAGCAATGACCATAAAAAAAAAAACAGAAAAAAAAAATCGGTGATAGACAAAATGACAGAACCCTGTCTGAATTTGTCTGACAAAGCCTGAATTTGTGTCTGACAATGTCTGTGACAGGTGCCTTATTTCCAGGCTTCATAAATTTCTGAGTTTTGTTCTCCATGCAAGTTAATTGAATTCATATTGTATTACAGACTATTTTAACAACTGAATTTGCTTAGCTAACCAATCGCATGTTTAGTATCAATTTGATATAAATTCTGATACTCAAGGTTAATTATACTGGACAACGGGTTATATTAGGGAGGGGATCATTTAGTATGAATAATACATCTGCTGTGTTAGTTAAGCCTCAGTAGTATAAGTCTAAACCTGTACAGATTGTTTAACATGTATAAGCACACTATATTATTGGGTAACAGCCAAATCACTTTCTATATATCACACCATATCAATTATGTTCATGGGTTATAAAATCTATATATGTAGGCCAATAACCTCCTGTATATACAAGTGTACCTGGCCAATCCATACAGGTATGTGGACAGTACGATGGACAAGATGTTACTAAATATTGCCACATGCCACAATATATATTATGCAATGCTTGAAATAAAATAAAAGTCTCACCCCTCCCAACCCAAACAAACTGAGGGAAATGGGGTTTAATGTCCACTCAACAGAAATTAGATCATTCAGAAAACATGGTAGAATTTTATTTCAATAATTTTCCTGCTCGTAGTGGTCTTTACCAGTGAGAGGAAACCAGAGTACCAAGAGAAATCTCACAACAGTCTACTATTTATCATGTACAAGCTTTGGAATCTAAACCTAGTCCTTGTCTCAATGACAAGACCTTATGATCTGAAGTTCAAGCGTCAGATCACTTGACCACACAACCCCTCACACATTAACAAACAGATCTTAAAATAGTGAAACCACTGCCTTGGTAATTTTCTTCCTAATAACCCACACAATGCCTCAGAAAACAAATAAACAATGATATTTACAAATATTAATAAAGATGTATCCAGTGCCTGTTCTGTCAGATAGAATTAGCAAGATGATTGATGTTAATAGAAAACAAACGTTACTTAACTAATACCAAGCAATGTTTTCTAATGGCCTCTTCTGAGAAATGTATTATCTGGAGACTTAAAAATTGATCATATAACAGACATTGAATAATAGAACAACACAATAAAACAACAGACAGAATGGGAATTAACATCTTATCAGACATTTTGTAACGAACATGTATTTTTCATTTTTTCGTCTCTTCCAAACAATTATACATTGTCCCTTGCCAGACCCTCTGTCCTGCACCACTGACAAGAACTACACAAACAACAGACAAAATGGAACAGAGAGAAAATTAACATTTTATCTGCATCACCCATTTAAAAACTAACATACACTTTTCATTTCAAGGAATTTGGCGGCAGTGTTATCACCTATTCTTCCTCGAATTCCAACTGCTAAGGGTTCTTGTATGTGCAGGCCATGGTATATATAGATGGACCTCAGGTTTTTGTTCCATCCAAAAGACTGGGCACAATTTCCTTGTCAGGCCCCCAAGTGCTACCACTGACCAATAAGAACTGGGCTTGAAAATCCCAATGGTTCTTCTTGGCTTATATCAAATCCGAACCTGGAACAACCAACACAGAAGCAAAGCATAAATAGATACACATTCTCTGAGTAGATATGTACAAACTACAAACAAAATTATTCAACAAAACCATCAGTTGTCTGGCGTGACAGTAAGCTTTAGACTGTCTATAATTAATATTCAGTAGATGTATATTGTACATGTAGAATACAGAATCTAACATAAACATGGTGTAACATAAAATAGAATCTATCAATCTGGTCTATTGGACTCCATCGGGGTTAATGATGACTGGCCTATTTAATCTCCATTTATCTCTCATCATATGTTGAAACAAATACCTGACATAAATGTTATGAAATTTGAATACATTAAATTTAATGTACATACAATTAAAAACATGTTTCTGAAAGGACATTGGGGTCAATCTGTTTTTACACCGAAAACTTAAAGATTATGTAAAATGTTGATAAAGAACTGGCCATTCTTACTATAATAGTTTAAAAAAAAGATAATGAAAATCAATATATTGAAAATTTCATTCAAATTACTTTATTCTGAGCAAAGTTGTGAGTGCTGGAGGATGAACATTGACTGTGTATAATGGCAGCAACAATACTGGACAAACGAGACTTAGTCTCGATTATCCAGTTCACCTTTAAATTTCTAAATCATATAGGTATTCTAATCCAATTAAATCTCTGCCATCCAATGGTCTAGAGAGTTGATTATGGGCTTGGCATGTGAATAAATGTCTAAATAATAGTTTTTATTTTATGATCAGTAGTGGAATACCGTGTTTTATCAGTGAAATAAAAGTGTTATTCCACTGGCTAAAGTAGTCCATGTTGTTTTTACCTAAAATGATTGTAAAATCATAAAATAAATAGAACATTTGTCGTTTTGTCGTGAATAACATATTTTATTTCATCTCTAAGCAAGAAAACGTTTATATTTTCACTCATGCTACGCATTCGTGAAAATATAAGTTTTCTTGCTTATCGATGAAATAAAATATGTTATTCACTCTAAAACGACAAATATCCTCTATATATTACTTTTGAAGCCAAAATAAAGACCTGTAATAGATAGAGTTAGCACTTACATAATGCATCTTTAATATAGTAATTTTAGAGCCTGCACAAATGAAGTTCTGTGACAAAGGTAAACTTTCCATGTCTAATTCCTAAATGTCTAAAGTGTTTGTTTACCATTTATTTGATTCATCATCAGTGGTCTATAGTCAAACAAATATAGTTAATTACTACACTTCTTTCTATTCCATTGAAAACCTTTTGAACATTAAGAGTCAAATTCAAACAAGAATATTCATAACTAATATTCCAATCTATAGTCCCAAGTATCTCACCAATATGATCCGTGTGAAAAAAATCAGTGTGGTAAATTCACTTCTATCAGTCTTTCGTTATATTCGGTCAAAAATGGACAAATTTGGGACCACACTGTCACCAACGCCACAAATAGATTTTAGGAACAAGTGGTACTCAATTTAATGGGCCAATCTCAATCATATTTTGGAGAATACATTATCTTAATTTTGTATTAAAGGACCTTAAAATCCTCTACCTTAGGGCCGAGCAACTAACTCAATATACATGATACGTTTTCAAACAACTTAAACCAATTAGTCTTCATCTGGAAATGAAGACTGTGTCCCAAGCTGTATTATACAGTGCCTGGATAAAGCCTGACTTTTATTTTATAAAAATAATGTGTAGGTGAAATTTACCTTTCATTATCAAGTACAGCACATGGCTCAGACATTGTATAAACCTCTAAAGGAACGGCAATAAATAATCAGATCACATCCAAACGACTCAATATTTTGAACTGAAATTCTGAGACAAAGCAAATACACCATTCCTCTATATTTTGGCACTTAAATTTCATATGTACACAGACATTTTTTTTCTGAGACCCTGTTAAAATCAGGATGGTCCCTTTAAGTACATCAACATGACACTTGGCATGCTTCCTGGACATAGTATGCCCGTACTTGTTAAGTTCAAAATTGATATCAAATATGAGTTATTAGATATCTAATCTTTTGAAAATAATCAATTGATAGTTATTTTGAATACACTAATGGGTGGCGTGGGTGGTAAGAGATGCAAAGGAAATGGATATAAAACTGATCTCATGTTTTTGGGCTCCCCATATAATCTGAATAACTAACTGAATACAGTATGCTGTGAGAGTCCAATATAGAGAGCAAGAGAGAGAAACCCTTTAAGTCCACTCAACGTAAACTGTGTCACTTCAGAACTAACATACGGCTCAATTTTATTTCAATAATTCCCTAATGTGTAAGACGTACGAATCTGAAGCAGTGGGAGGCAACCGCAGGATTATGTGAAAATCCACAAGGTTGGGGAGGTGACCCTACTCCTTGTCATGTACAAGTTTTACTAAATTTCAGACGTTATGATACCCCCACACACACCCCCAAGAGTCCATTAGAAATTAAATCCTAACTACTATTTGTGTGTTCTCTTCAGGGTTGTTTCACACGAGAATGTTTGAAAAGTAAGTAGGGGTCATGTTGGCTTAGTGAGTATTGCCTCAGGATTTTTGAGCAGGGTTCCCCCCGTTGTCATTGGTGCAGGACAGAGATCAGGACAGGCATAGAACAGTGTTTAGTCGTTTGGAACAAGACGAAAAACCAAGGTCTTGTGTACAAGTAAAAACAACCTTGACAGCTGAGATTGAAATAAGAGTATAGCCAAAGTGCCACTGTCCGGACAAAATTTCCCCCATAGCATAGTGCATGCCTCTCTTCATTACGCCAGATGGAGCAGAAAAGTAGAATGTGAAGCTCCATTAAATTTCATCTCATTTACTAAGTATTTGTTAAAATTTTACAGGATTCGGCGGCTTTCTTTGAGTTTGATATGCCTTCATTTACTTTTCTTTCGGTTTCCGTATCTTTAATAAAATATTCAAATGGAAAAAAATTTTTATGACTGCATACATATCATTGATATTAGCTGTGTAGTTATCACCACCTTTATCAAGATTAATCTTCATGATAAAATATTCTCCAATAAATATTTCTAACATTGGATAACACCAGAAATAAAATGTTAATAAATTATAAAGTGAATGTGAATAATTATTTTATGCAAGCTTTGCACAATGAATAAAGTTGTAATACATGACTAGACATTTATAATATTTAATATATATGAATGTGAATAATTTTTATAGGCACATATTTTTACTGTAAAATTAGTTTTGTTCTAATTTACAATGACTTGATAGAACATGCTGGTGGTCTGTTTATTGTCAGATGTACCTAGGCAACAGAAATCATGATCTAACCTGCAGGGTTAACTAATACCATATCAGTATGGTTTCTTGCCAGATTAATCTGCTGATTTGTTAATGTTTTATGCAACAATCATAAAATAAACAAATTAAAAAATATGCATTGCCCCTGTCCTAAGAAAGAAATAATTGGTTTGAATTTGGAATCTAAAGGAAAATGAATAAATTTCATTTATGAATTTAGAAAACAGCCAAAGAATATTGAGTACAAAAGAAAGCATGTCAAATCTTGTTTAATGACAGTAACACTTTTTTTTGCAAGTCATAAAAAGAAAAACCAATATACTAATAAATATATGGGTTAGAAGAATTTTTTTTAAAAATATGACCTTTGGGGTATTTTTGGTGAATAATTACCGTTAGTAGAAGCGGAGGTGATTGCGTGTCCTTGCATGTACTGCCAACATCTCATTCTGGCGACAGGAAAACGTCAGTTGTTTGTTTTTGACAAGCCGACATGGTGTAGATGATGCGAAATACACGTTCTGTTGACATCTTTGGCCTCAAGCCCCTGGGGTGAAGTTGACAGAGAAGGCAGGACGACATCTCCTCCATGACTATTCCTCTTGCCGGCATGATCTCGCCTCTTGATTCTTGCATAGAAATGGGACGCACTGCAATGACTGAATGAAGCCCGGCAAGCGTCGTTCGTTTCAGTCCGTTTTAAAACCAGTCAGCGAAGGACCAATCGTTGTTAGAAACATGCGACATGTCAAAACACGATTAGAAAGACCGGGTACGGAAAATGCCGAGATATGTTGTCCGTCTCTATTGTCGATAATTGATCTTATGAACAATAAATTAATTTCATAGATTGCCATGTATTCCGTAACATTCGCAATAACAAACGTAATATTTCTTGGCGAACATCCAAACCAACTTCGCCTTGGAAAGCAGGCGGATTCAACATATCATTACATTTTTACTTTCAATTTCCCACGTGCCGTCTAGTATTTCCCGCCATATATTAGTTCCACATGCACACTCACGTGCTTTGTAATTTCAAGGTCTTACCTCTGTCAAATTTCTTTCCATCGGGATCGATGTCCTTGACGTCAAAAATATCCTCAAATAAAACACCCGCCATGCTTTCTTGTCGCTCTGATCAAGACCAAGTTGACAATATCACGACTCTATCGGACTTAATGATTGTTTGGGTTACTTTTTACTCTGAATTTCACCAAATTTTGGCGATTGTTTATCTATTTTTTTTAAGTCAAGTCATCAAATATTTATTAATCCAAGTATTTTATTGAAATTTCAAGAGAAAGGATGGTTTGTTTACGTTTTGTGTGAGGTGTGCGTGCACGTTTAGTTTTGAAGAATTGTATCTTCGTTAGTCAAAGAGTAACGTAATGGGAAATAACTCTAAAATGAAATTCTCAATATGGGTACAGACCACTGATGAAACAAAATTTAATATACATGTACCAAACTGCAAGGATTACGGTTACCACAATTGCGAGAGAAAAAAGCTCATCAATACCTCACTCCCAAGTCTGTGACAACAACTCACCAGAAATAGATGTTATAACCATCAGTTATTTACGAATCTCACAAATAGTTTTCGAAGATTTTAATGAACTCTAGCTCTAACTCTTTTGTCAGTAGATTAGTGTTTGAATCTGTCAGATATTAGCTGAGTTTTAGGTTATTTTAAATATGATGATATTGCTCAAAATCTTTCAATTTATTTTATTGGTGAAAGATATACATTACAACCATATTGCTCAAAATATATTACATTTATTTTATTGATGAAAGATATAATTCACAACATCTGAAAGAGAGGTAACTCTAATCGGCTTAATGTTCTAACACGTAAGAGTGTATTATGTCTGCGCGCAGAGCTGGATTATGGTGAATAAACTTGAGGAAAAGGGCAGTTTCGTCATGTGCTTTTCCGGAGAAAAACCTCACGACAATGTTCAATTTGTTACATGTTACATTAAAACAGTTTCGGACATTCTTATTTCCTTATCGCGTGTTCGTGCAATGCAGTCGGGGCGGTAACAGTGACATGGCTATGATTTCTCAACTATATGTGGTTTTCAGAAAAGAAAGAGAGCCGAGTCGGGGGTATTAGAATTTACAGTAAAAACAGAAACGATTGAATGTAAATCAGTGTAATATTCATGTTACATTATTATGCCTAGGTGCCAAAGAATAGCGATTTAGCTCCTTTAAACTCTAACGGATCGTTATCTTGCTAACGTGTCGTTTGTTAACAGCCCGTTAAATTTCTGTTGCCAAAAAGTCATTTTCATTATCCGTTAGCTAACGGACTGACTAAAGTTAATCCAAGAGAAGAATGTTTGGTCATTGACACGTGTATATGCAACAGTTTCCCAAAGTTTCATATTTTTTCGTGGAGATTCCTATACATAGTTAGCGCTGGAAAAAGAGTGATTTCAACTATTTTCCAGTGTGAGTCGATTTTCAAAGCTAATTTTACAAGAAACTGACAAAGATATGGCTTTTAGTAATGTTTGTTCAAACAATACCCATCGATACATCTTACAAGTGATAAGTAACAACTCCCAATATAGTGTAGTAAATTTTCTACACTGTATCGAAATATTGATATTTTTTGCACAAGTATCAATTTTTGGCACCCCATACACTTATTCTGTAAAATTTGATGGTAAATTCTTAATCTATATAACATTCTCTTACAAACCCCACAATTTCAAGAATATAGCATGACTAGAAGGAATAAAATCAGATCACAAAAATCGAGTCCTAAAATAGTAGTTTCAAAGGGTCATATCTCAGTCAATGTACTATAACATATATTCTTTTCATAATTTTTCTGAGGGAGTCATTTTCTGAGAATTTGGTCCACTTGACATGGAATGACCCTATAACAACATTATTGTTAAATTTATATAAGGATATAATCCTAACGGAAGCTGTTTATCAAGCAATTTATATTGATTCAATATAAGGATGATGTTTATTAGTCTATTGATACATCGCCTAAAGTGGCCCATACACGTTCAATGTTTTCATCAATTAATTGACGAAGAAACTGAACGTGTATGGAGGACATTGACGGCGAATTAATTGAAACAATTTAATTGAATCAATTAATTGACGGATAAAAGTTCCTTTTTGATTTAATTATCAATGGCCGTTAACCGGCATATAGGAATCTAATCCAGTCAACATCGAAGGCTTGCCTTGACATCGAGAGTTTATTATGGTCTGGATAAGTTAATTAATGTCTAATTCACAATTTAGATAACATTTCAGGCCTAAAGAAAGACTTGTAATACGCAGATTTTGCTCTTGCATAATGCATGTTTAAATAGACCGTGTGTGCTAGTGCCAGAGTCTCCAGAGATGCTTTCATCTCGAAATTTTCAATCAGAATGAAAATTGACGCTAAAACATTGATCGTGTGTGGGCAATGTCAGTTTCGACAATTAATTTACGAAAAAATTGAACGTGTATATGGGTCGCTTAAAGCACCCCATACACGATCAATTATATTGCGCAATTTAATTGTCAATACCCTGAATTGACAATTAAATTGAACGTGTATGGGTGATATTTATGACTTGCGCAATTGTATTGAGTGAATCAAATCCTGCTTGATATTTTATTGCGCAAGTCTATTTGATTGCACAATTATTTGTAGTTTGCTTTCCAATCAGGGGCTCGACCATTTGCAAAAGCTCATTGTAGGACTCAACATCCATGCGCAGAAAGTTTTTAAAATCACTTGGCTCATTCTGGCTCAGTTCACGTAGTAATTTGGTGTGTCCAAACGTTGAACGCTGCAGAAACCATTCTTTTGACCATTTTGCACGTTTCCTTCTTGGAACATCGGTTTCCTCTTCTACAGTAAGAGCAACTGCCACGGCGATTGCTGGGTCAAAATCCCCCATCCTTTCTCAACGGATAGCAAGACCAAAATGAGTCTAGTTTGCGCAATTAAAGTGTCAATTATATTGAGCTGTGTGTGGGCAGCAAAAAATTGTCAATTATATTGTGCAACCAGGCTTGCGCAATATAAATGATCGTGTATGGGGCGCTAAAAGGCGTAGGGAGACGGAGGCGATGTATTTCCGTTTTTCGGGTACAAACATCAGAAAAGGGAGAACATTAAATTGTTTTTTTGCTTAACATATTGTAAATTTATATTGTGTGTAATTGTGTAATTAATTAATAATAAACAACCATCACAGCTTTGTGGAAAATTCGTTTTAGTTAATGATTGATTCATTCTGAAAATTCGGGTGACAATTTTTAGGACAAATAGCCACAGCACAATCCCCTCCCAACTGAGATTGCCCTATGCCTATGTCCATCGTTGATAAGATTTAGTGGATGCATAGTCTATCTTGTATAACGTTAGCTGCTGCCAAAAGTGTATTCTTTTGTTATACTAACTTACTCCTTGTATAGAGAAAATTATTGCTGCCAATTATAACACTCTATTGAATATAGTGTTGGCATTAAACTTGCTGGTTCTTGCCAACTTCTATTAATTCAACGCTTAAAGGTCCACTTGAGTTTAAAATGATTCTCCCCGTTCTGCACCACTGACAAGCTGAAGCCACGCCGAAAAATCCCGAGGAACTTTCCCAGTCAAGACCTGGAGCGAATCTGAGACACTCGGGTTAGCGGCTGAGCCACTGCGGCTGCCAGGACATTTGGACTGGCAGACGAATTCCTTCAGTTGAATTCCTTCAACCACCTCTTGTATTGACAAATTAAACTGAATTAGGAGATAAAGTTTTACAAGACTAGCGAACTATGTTAAAGATGAATTATGAAAGAGCTAAATCTGCCTATTGCAGGTCTTTCTTTGGGCCTTGTAAATTATTAATTAGACATTTATTAAGTTGCCAAAACCATAACCAACTCTCTATGCCATCAATGCTCTTGAATTCCAACGGATTTAAACACGATTGTCAGTTAATGTTTTAATTTAAAAATGCATTGGCCGAGAAAGTTCATCCAGATTTTCCGGCGTGGTTCCCCCTTGTCAGTGATGCAGGACGGAGGGCCTGACAAGGACAGCTGTCTAGTCCTTCGGATGAGACGAAAAACCGAGGAACCGTGTATACATTAGAATGCACGTAAAAGATCCCTTGGCAGTTAGAATTCAATATAAGAGTAGGCGATAGTGCCGCTGCCCGGGCAAAATTTCCCTCATAGCACACTGTATGGCGTATGCCCGTCTTCATTAGCCCAGCATAGGAGCAGAACAGTAGGACGTTAAACTCAATTTCATTTCATTTTTAATTTTTAAAAAAATGTATAATAAAGACTTAATTTACTATCTAAACAACTAAAGCAATGACAGTCGAGACTCTGCTATCTAATGTCGCCCGGAATAAAGTAATTTGACTGAAATTTTCATCTAGTTTTTTTACTATTATAGCGGGAACTGTCAGCTTTTTATCTAAAGTTTACACAACGCACCTTCAAGTAAACACGGGACTTTAAGTAAATACGGGCCTTTAAGAATAAATAAAGTGGTTGAATAAATGCCACTTTAATTTAATACTTCCTCCTATATCCCGTATATAAATCTCAAATTATAACTGCCGAGAGGAAAGCAGAAGGTATTTTAGCTGATTAAAGTTGAGACATTGTTGATACATTACGTTTCTTTAATAGAGGAGTAACATCTTATTTAAAAATAACGGAGTTTATTCATAGGATAAAGGTAATACCAATTATTTAAACTTTAATCGAGAATGTTTTCTGTCCAAAATTTAATTACATACCGAGCTAACTGCTTTTTATTTTATCTTTAACTTTAGATAAAAATAGTCGGAGTATTTTTAATGAACGGAGCATGCATGG